TGTACTGATGGTTGTGGTTGTACTGATGGTTGTGTGTGTTGTACTGATGGTTGTGTGTGTTGTACTGATGGTTGTGTGTTGTACTGATGGTTGTGTGTGTTGTACTGATGGTTGTGTGTTGTACTGATGGTTGTGTGTTGTACTGATGGTTGTGTGTTGTACTGATGGTTGTGTGTTGTACCGATGGTTGTGTGTTGTACTGATGGTTGTGTGTTGTACTGATGGTTGTGTGTTGTACCGATGGTTGTGTGTGTTGTACCGATGGTTGTGTGTTGTACTGATGGTTGTGTGTGTTGTACTGATGGTTGTGTGTTGTACTGATGGTTGTGTGTGTTGTACCGATGGTTGTGTGTGTTGTACCGATGGTTGTGTGTGTTGTACCGATGGTTGTGTGTGTTGTACGGATGGTTGTGTGTGTTGTACCGATGGTTGTGTGTTGTACTGATGGTTGTGTGTGTTGTACCGATGGTTGTGTGTGTTGTACTGATGGTTGTGTGTGTTGTACCGATGGTTGTGTGTTGTACCGATGGTTGTGTGTGTTGTACCGATGGTTGTGTGTGTTGTACGGATGGTTGTGTGTGTTGTACCGATGGTTGTGTGTGTTGTACGGATGGTTGTGTGTGTTGTACCGATGGTTGTGTGTTGTACTGATGGTTGTGTGTTGTACTGATGGTTGTGTGTTGTACTGATGGTTGTGTGTGTTGTACTGATGGTTGTGTGTTGTACCGATGGTTGTGTGTGTTGTACCGATGGTTGTGTGTGTTGTACCGATGGTTGTGTGTGTTGTACAGATGGTTGTGTGTTGTACTGATGGTTGTGTGTGTTGTACTGATGGTTGTGTGTTGTACTGATGGTTGTGTGTTGTACTGATGGTTGTGTGTGTTGTACTGATGGTTGTGTGTGTTGTACCGATGGTTGTGTGTGTTGTACTGATGGTTGTGTGTGTTGTACCGATGGTTGTGTGTGTTACTGATGGTTGTGTGTTGTACTGATGGTTGTGTGTTGTACTGATGGTTGTGTGTGTACTGATGGTTGTGTGTTGTACTGATGGTTGTGTGTGTTGTACCGATGGTTGTGTGTGTTGTACCGATGGTTGTGTGTTGTACTGATGGTTGTGTGTTTGTACTGATGTGTTGTGTTGTACTGATGGTTGTGTGTTGTTGATGGTTGTGTGTTGTACTGATGGTTGTGTGTGTTGTATGATGGTTGTGTGTGTGTACTGATGGTTGTGTGTTGTACCGATGGTTGTGTGTGTTGTACTGATGGTTGTGTGTTTGTACCGATGGTTGTGTGTGTTGTACCGATGGTGTGTGTTGTACCGATGGTTGTGTGTGTTGTACGATGGTTGTGTGGTGTTGTACCGATGGTTGTGTGTGTTGTACTGATGGTTGTGTGTTGTACTGATGGTTGTGTGTGTTGTACTGATGGTTGTGTGTTGTACTGATGGTTGTGGTGTTGTACTGATGGTTGTGTGTTGTACTGATGGTTGTGTGTGTTGTACTGATGGTTGTGTGTGTACTGATGGTTGTGTGTGTTGTACCGATGGTTGTGTGTGTTGTACCGATGGTTGTGTGTTGTACTGATGGTTGTGTGTTGTACTGATGGTTGTGTGTTGTACTGATGGTTGTGTGTGTTGTACTGATGGTTGTGTGTTGTACTGATGGTTGTGTGTTGTACTGATGGTTGTGTGTTGTACCGATGGTTGTGTGTGTTGTACGATGGTTGTGTGTGTTGTACTGATGGTTGTGTTGTACTGATGGTTGTGTGTTGTACTGATGGTTGTGTGTTGTACTGATGGTTGTGTGTGTTGTACTGATGGTTGTGTGTTGTACGATGGTTGTGTGTTGTACCGATGGTTGTGTGTGTGTTGTACCGATGGTTGTGTGTGTTGTACCGATGGTTGTGTGTTTACCGATGGTTGTGTGTTGTACCGATGGTTGTGTGTTGTGTACCGATGGTTGTGTGTTGTACCGATGGTTGTGTGTTGTACTGATGGTTGTGTGTGTGTTGTACTGATGGTTGTGTGTTGTACTGATGGTTGTGTGTGTTGTACTGATGGTTGTGTGTTGTACCGATGGTTGTGTGTTGTACCGATGGTTGTGTGTGTTGTACCGATGGTTGTGTGTGTTGTACTGATGGTTGTGTGTTGTACTGATGGTTGTGTGTGTTGTACTGATGGTTGTGTTGTACTGATGGTTGTGTGTGTTGTACTGATGGTTGTGTGTTGTACTGATGGTTGTGTGTTGTACCGATGGTTGTGTGTGTTGTACGATGGTTGTGTGTGTTGTACCGATGGTTGTGTGTGTTGTACTGATGGTTGTGTGTGTTGTACTGATGGTTGTGTGTTGTACTGATGGTTGTGTGTGTTGTACTGATGGTTGTGTGTGTTGTACTGATGGTTGTGTGTTGTACTGATGGTTGTGTGTTGTACCGATGGTTGTGTGTGTTGTACCGATGGTTGTGTGTGTTGTACTGATGGTTGTGTGTTGTACCGATGGTTGTGTGTGTTGTACCGATGGTTGTGTGTGTTGTACTGATGGTTGTGTGTTGTACTGATGGTTGTGTGTTTGTACTGATGGTTGTGTGTGTTGTACCGATGGTTGTGTGTGTTGTACCGATGGTTGTGTGTTGTACTGATGGTTGTGTGTTGTACTGATGGTTGTGTGTGTTGTACCGATGGTTGTGTGTTGTACTGATGGTTGTGTGTTGTACCGATGGTTGTGTGTGTTGTACCGATGGTTGTGTGTTGTACTGATGGTTGTGTGTTGTACCGATGGTTGTGTGTGTTGTACCGATGGTTGTGTGTTGTACTGATGGTTGTGTGTGTTGTACTGATGGTTGTGTGTTGTACTGATGTTGTGTTGTACCGATGGTTGTGTGTTGTACTGATGGTTGTGTGTTGTACTGATGGTTGTGTGTGTTTGTACCGATGGTTGTGTGTGTTGTACCGATGGTTGTGTGTGTTGTACTGATGGTTGTGTGTGTTGTACTGATGGTTGTGTGTTGTACTGATGGTTGTGTGTGTTGTACTGATGGTTGTGTGTGTTGTACTGATGGTTGTGTGTTGTACTGATGGTTGTGTGTTGTACCGATGGTTGTGTGTGTTGTACCGATGGTTGTGTGTGTTGTACCGATGGTTGTGTGTGTTGTACTGATGGTTGTGTGTTGTACTGATGGTTGTGTGTGTTGTACTGATGGTTGTGTGTTGTACTGATGGTTGTGTGTGTTGTACTGATGGTTGTGTGTTGTACTGATGGTTGTGTGTTGTACCGATGGTTGTGTGTGTTGTACCGATGGTTGTGTGTGTTGTACTGATGGTTGTGTGTGTTGTACCGATGGTTGTGTGTTGTACCGATGGTTGTGTGTGTTGTACCGATGGTTGTGTGTGTTGTACTGATGGTTGTGTGTGTTGTACCGATGGTTGTGTGTGTTGTACTGATGGTTGTGTGTGTTGTACCGATGGTTGTGTGTTGTACCGATGGTTGTGTGTGTTGTACCGATGGTTGTGTGTGTGTACTGATGGTTGTGTGTGTTGTACCGATGGTTGTGTGTTGTACCGATGGTTGTGTGTGTTGTACTGATGGTTGTGTGTGTTGTACTGATGGTTGTGTGTTGTACTGATGGTTGTGTGTGTTGTACTGATGGTTGTGTGTGTTGTACTGATGGTTGTGTGTTGTACTGATGGTTGTGTTGTACGATGGTTGTGTGTGTTGTACCGATGGTTGTGTGTTGTACCGATGGTTGTGTGTGTTGTACCGATGGTTGTGTGTTGTACCGATGGTTGTGTGTTGTACTGATGGTTGTGTGTGTTGTACTGATGGTTGTGTGTTGTACCGATGGTTGTGTGTGTTGTACCGATGGTTGTGTGTTGTACTGATGGTTGTGTGTTGTACCGATGGTTGTGTGTTGTACTGATGGTTGTGTGTGTTGTACTGATGGTTGTGTGTTGTACTGATGGTTGTGTGTGTTGTACTGATGGTTGTGTGTTGTACCGATGGTTGTGTGTGTTGTACGATGGTTGTGTGTGTTGTACCGATGGTTGTGTGTGTTGTACTGATGGTTGTGTGTTGTACTGATGGTTGTGTGTGTTGTACTGATGGTTGTGTGTTGTACTGATGGTTGTGTGTTGTACTGATGGTTGTGTGTTGTACTGATGGTTGTGTGTTGTACCGATGGTTGTGTGTGTTGTACCGATGGTTGTGTGTGTTGTACTGATGGTTGTGTGTGTTGTACTGATGGTTGTGTGTGTTGTACTGATGGTTGTGTGTTGTACTGATGGTTGTGTGTTGTACCGATGGTTTGTGTGTTGTGTACCGATGGTTGTGTGTGTTGTACTGATGGTTGTGTGTTGTACCGATGGTTGTGTGTGTTGTACCGATGGTTGTGTGTGTTGTACTGATGGTTGTGTGTTGTACTGATGGTTGTGTGTGTTGTACTGATGGTTGTGTGTGTTGTACCGATGGTTGTGTGTGTTGTACCGATGGTTTGTGTTGTACTGATGGTTGTGTGTTGTACTGATGGTTGTGTGTTGTACCGATGGTTGTGTGTTGTACTGATGGTTGTGTGTTGTACCGATGGTTGTGTGTGTTGTACCGATGGTTGTGTGTTGTACTGATGGTTGTGTGTTGTACTGATGGTTGTGTGTTACTGATGGTTGTGTGTTGTACCGATGGTTGTGTGTGTTGTACCGATGGTTGTGTGTGTTGTACTGATGGTTGTGTGTGTTGTACTGATGGTTGTGTGTTGTACTGATGGTTGTGTGTTGTACCGATGGTTGTGTGTTGTACTGATGGTTGTGTGTGTTGTACTGATGGTTGTGTGTGTTGTACCGATGGTTGTGTGTGTTGTACCGATGGTTGTGTGTTGTACTGATGGTTGTGTGTTGTACTGATGGTTGTGTGTGTTGTACCGATGGTTGTGTGTTGTACTGATGGTTGTGTGTGTTGTACTGATGGTTGTGTGTTGTACTGATGGTTGTGTGTTGTACCGATGGTTGTGTGTTGTACTGATGGTTGTGTGTGTCCCACGTTGTGTCATAACAATAATTCGACGCTGATCCTGAATCCTCTGTGTCGTCATTGATCCATTTTGCAATGTCTCCATCTGGCCAATCAGCCTTCTTCTTTTCAAGATGTTTTCTCAAACTTCCTGCAGCTGAAACCTCGTGAACCCGTCGCCTCCTCTTTTCCCTCCTCTCTCCTGGCTGGCCCCTCCCCCGCCTGCTGCTGCTGCTTATCGCCGCGGCGCCGCAGCACTTCAGGGTGAGTGGAGAACAGGTGAGTTAATGCTGCTGCAAGGAGACGATGCTGCCTGACTGGATTATCGTCCTGATCCTGCTGCTGCTGCTGCAGGCGGCTGGGAACCGGGCTCAGAGTGGAGACCGCGACCCGGACTCAGGTAAGACCCACTGGACCCGGCCTGCCCAGACAGAACCCAGACAGAACCCAGCAGAACCCAGCAGAACCAGACCGCTGGGTCAGAAACACACAGGAACATCTGCTGTCTGTGGCAGGAAGGACCTGAGAGAAACTCTGGTTCTGGTTCTGGTTCTGGTTCCATCTGATGTGGACTAAACTGAAAACAGCTGAAACCCTGATCTCCTTTCAATCAGACTGAAGCAGCTGATCAGAAGATCAAAGCGTTTGATTGGTTCAATGAATCGTTAGTTTCTGGTTTCCATGTTTCTGACGTGAACATAAGTAACTGTCTGAGGCAGAACTTTGACTGGTCCCCTGCTGTGTGTGGTTGTGGTTCTGCTTCCTGCCAGAACCGGGCCTCAGCTGCAGCTCTCATATCAGCATCAGGGCCAACAGCCTGACCTGCCAGCTGCTGGGTCGCCACGGAGACGAGGACGACGAGGACGGGGACAGAGACCCATCGACGAGATGATAGTGTGGTAAGGCTCTCTGCTCCGGCTGCTCCTGAGCCAGGTTCTGCCAGAACCCGACAGAACCTTCTGCTGGTCTCTGCAGCCAGGTGCGGCAGCAGAAGCACAGGATGCAGCAGAAATGTGTCCAGGCTCACGGAGACACGGTGAGCGGTCTGTGTCCCGTCGCCGTCGCCAACGTGACGGTCCACCGGCGGGGAGGAGGACGGCTTTCGGCCACCGTCCTGCTGCAGAAGATCGGTGAGTCCAGAACCGGGCCGCTCCGGCCCACAGCGCCGCACGATCATTCACGAGTCTCAGCATCGAGGTGAAAGAGTTTCATATCCTAACCCCTTTAAATCTGAAAAGTGTGGGGGAAACGCTGAACCAGCTCCGGTTCCTGTTTCAGGGTGTCGGAGTAAACAGTTCAACTCGTTTTCCTTCCAGGTTTATTTTCATTTATTTCTAACATGCAGAACATAAACAAAGATTGAATGTTTGTGAGGAAAATTTTCATAATGAAATGAAAACCAGACAAAGAAGAAGAAACTTGAAATCAACGACTGAACAGATTCAAAGGTATTAAAACTCGGATCACATGTTCAACAATCTAAACCAGAAACGACCAAAAACTGCGACTCAGTGACATGAAAAGCAAATCATTGATATTCACTGATAAGGAGGAAATTCTGACTGTTGACCTGCTGACCCCGGTTCCTTTGGGGTCAATTGATGTGACCCCGACCCTAATGGAAGCAGCCTGTTGTTGCTAGCAGGGTGTCGTTGCTAGCAGGGTGTCGTTGCTAGCAGGGTGTCGTTGCTAGCAGGGTGATGTTGCTAGCAGGGTGTCGTTGCTAGCAGGGTGTCGTTGCTAGCAGGGTGATGTTGCTAGCAGGGTGATGTTGCTAGCAGGGTGTCGTTGCTAGCAGGGTGTCGTTGCTAGCAGGGTGATGTTGCTAGAAGGGTGTCGTTGCTAGCAGGGTGTCGTTGCTAGCAGGGTGTCGTTGCTAGGGTGATGTTGCTAGAAGGGTGTCGTTGCTAGCAGGGTGTCGTTGCTAGCAGGGTATCGTTGCTAGCAGGGTGTCGTTGCTAGCAGGGTGATGTTGCTAGAAGGGTGTTGTTGCTAGCAGGTGATGTTGCTAGCATTGTGTCGTTGCCAGCAGGGTGTCGTTGCTAGCAGGGTATTGTTGCTAGCAGGGTGTCGTTGCTAGCAGGGTGATGTTGCTAGAAGGGTGTCGTTGCTAGCAGGGTGATGTTGCCAGCAGGGTGATGTAGCTAGCAGGGTGTCGTTGCTAGCAGGGTATCGTTGCTAGCAGGGTGTCGTTGCTAGCAGGGTGATGTTGCTAGAAGGGTGTCGTTGCTAGCAGGGTGATGTTGCTAGCATGGTGTCGTTGCCAGCAGGGTGTCGTTGCTAGCAGGGTGATGTTGCTAGCAGGGTGTCGTTGCTAGCAGGGTGATGTTGCTAGAAGGGTGTTGTTGCTAGCAGGGTGATGTTGCTAGCATGGTGTCGTTGCAAGCAGGTGTCGTTGCTAGCAGGGTGATGTTGCTAGCAGGGTGTCGTTGCTAGCAGGGTGTCGTTGCTAGCAGGGTGATGTAGCTAGCAGGGTGATGTTGCCAGCAGGGTGATGTAGCTAGCTGGGTGTCGTGTCGTTGCTAGCAGGGTGATGTTGCTAGAAGGGTGTTGTTGCTAGCAGGGTGATGTTGCTAGCATGGTGTCGTTGCCAGCAGGGTGTCGTTGCTAGCAGGGTGTCGTTGCTAGCAGGGTGATGTTGCTAGCAGGGTGTCGTTGCTAGCAGGGTGATGTTGCTAGAAGGGTGTCGTTGCTAGCAGGGTGATGTTGCTAGCATGGTGTCGTTGCAAGCAGGGTGTCGTTGCTAGCAGGGTGATGTTGCTAGCAGGGTGTCGTTGCTAGCAGGGTGATGTAGCTAGCAGGGTGATGTAGCTAGCAGGGTGATGTTGCCAACAGGGTGATGTAGCTAGCAGGGTGTCGTTGCTAGCAGGGTGAGGTAGCTAGCAGGGTGATGTTGCCAGCAGGGTGAGGTAGCTAGCAGGGTGTCGTTGCTAGCAGGGTATTGTTGCTAGCAGGGTGTCGTTGCCAGCAGGGTGATTTTGCTAGCAGGGTGATGTTGCTAGCAGGGTGTCGTTGCTAGCAGGGTGATGTTGCTAGAAGGTGTCGTTGCTAGCAGGGTGATGTTGCTAGCATGGTGTTGTTGCAAGCAGGGTGTCGTTGCTAGCAGGGTGATGTTGCTAGCAGGGTGTCGTTGCTAGCAGGGTGATGTAGCTAGCAGGGTGATGTTGCCAACAGGGTGATGTAGCTAGCAGGGTGTCGTTGCTAGCAGGGTATCGTTGCTAGCAGGGTGATGTAGCTAGCAGGGTGATGTTGCCAGCAGGGTGATGTAGCTAGCAGGGTGTCGTTGCTAGCAGGGTATTGTTGCTAGCAGGGTGTCGTTGCTAGCAGGGTGATGTTGCTAGAAGGGTGTCGTTGCTAGCAGGGTGATGTAGCTAGCAGGGTGATGTTGCCAGCAGGGTGAGGTAGCTAGCAGGGTGTCGTTGCTAGCAGGGTGATGTTGCTAGAAGGGTGTCGTTGCTAGCAGGGTGATGTTGCTAGCATGGTGTCGTTGCCAGCAGGGTGTCGTTGCTAGCAGGGTGATGTTGCTAGCAGGGTGTCGTTGCTAGCAGGGTGATGTTGCTAGAAGGGTGTCGTTGCTAGCAGGGTGATGTTGCTAGCATGGTGTCGTTGCAAGCAGGGTGTCGTTGCTAGCAGGGTGATGTTGCTAGCAGGGTGTCGTTGCTAGCAGGGTGTCATTGCTAGCAGGGTGATGTAGCTAGCAGGGTGATGTTGCCAACAGGGTGATGTAGCTAGCAGGGTGTCGTTGCTAGCAGGGTATCGTTGCTAGCAGGGTGATGTAGCTAGCAGGGTGATGTTGCCAGCAGGGTGATGTAGCTAGCAGGGTGTCGTTGCTAGCAGGGTATTGTTGCTAGCAGGGTGTCGTTGCTAGCAGGGTGATGTTGCTAGAAGGGTGTCGTTGCTAGCAGGGTGATGTAGCTAGCAGGGTGATGTTGCCAGCAGGGTGAGGTAGCTAGCAGGGTGTCGTTGCTAGCAGGGTGATGTTGCTAGAAGGGTGTCGTTGCTAGCAGGTGATGTTGCTAGCATGGTGTCGTTGCCAGCAGGGTGTTGTTGCTAGCAGGGTGATGTTGCTAGCAGGGTGTCGTTGCTAGCAGGGTGATGTTGCTAGAAGGGTGTCGTTGCTAGCAGGGTGATGTTGCTAGCATGGTGTCGTTGCAAGCAGGGTGTCGTTGCTAGCAGGGTGATGTTGCTAGCAGGGTGTCGTTGCTAGCAGGGTGTCGTTGCTAGCAGGGTGATGTAGCTAGCAGGGTGATGTTGCCAACAGGGTGATGTAGCTAGCAGGGTGTCGTTGCTAGCAGGGTATCGTTGCTAGCAGGGTGATGTAGCTAGCAGGGTGATGTTGCCAGCAGGGTAATGTAGCTAGCAGGGTGTCGTTGCTAGCAGGGTATTGTTGCTAGCAGGGTGTCGTTGCTAGCAGGGTGATGTTGCTAGAAGGGTGTCGTTGCTAGCAGGGTGATGTAGCTAGCAGGGTGATGTTGCCAGCAGGGTGAGGTAGCTAGCAGGGTGTCGTTGCTAGCACGGTATTGTTGCTAGAAGGGTGTCGTTGCCAGCAGGGTGATTTTGCTAGCAGGGTGATGTTGCTAACAGGGTGTCGTTGCCAGCAGGGTGTCGTTGCTAGCAAGGTGTCGTTGCCAGCAGGGTGTCGTTGCTAGCAGGGTGTCGTTGCCAGCAGGGTGATGTTGCTAGCAGGGTGATGTTGCTAGCAGGGTGTCGTTGCTAGCAGGGTGTCGTTGCTAGCAGGGTGTCGTTGCTAGCAGGGTGTCGTTGCTAGCAGGGTGATGTTGCTAGCAGGGTGATGTTGCTAGCAGGGTGTCATTGCTAGCAGGGTGGTGTTGCTACCAAGGTGATGTTGCTAGCAGGGTGATGTTGCTATCAGGGTGTCGTTGCCAGCAGGGTGTCGTTGCTAGCAGGGTGTCGTTGCCAGCAGGGTGTCGTTGCTAGCAGGGTGATGTTGCTAGCAGGATGTCGTTGCTAGCAGGGTGATGTTGCTAGCAGGGTGATGTTGCTAGCAGGGTGTCGTTGCTAGCAGGGTGATGTAGCTAGCAGGGTGAGGTAGCTAGCTGGGTGTCGTTGCTAGCAGGGTATTGTTGCTAGCAGGGTGTCGTTGCCAGCAGGGTGATTTTGCTAGCAGGGTGATGTTGCTAGCAGGGTGTCGTTGCTAGCAGGGTGATGTTGCTAGAAGGGTGTCGTTGCTAGCAGGGTGATGTTGATAGCATGGTGTCGTTGCAAGCAGGGTGTCGTTGCTAGCAGGGTGATGTTGCTAGCAGGGTGTCGTTGCTAGCAGGGTGTCGTTGCTAGCAGGGTGATGTAGCTAGCAGGGTGATGTTGCCAGCAGGGTGATGTAGCTAGCAGGGTGTCGTTGCTAGCAGGGTGATGTTGCTAGAAGGGTGTCGTTGCTAGCAGGGTGATGTTGCTAGCATGGTGTCGTTGCCAGCAGGGTGTCATTGCTAGCAGGGTGATGTTGCTAGCAGGGTGTCGTTGCAAGCAGGGTGTCGTTGCTAGCAGGGTGATGTTGCTAGCAGGGTGTCGTTGCTAGCAGGGTGTCGTTGCTAGCAGGGTGATGTAGCTAGCATGGTGTCGTTGCAAGCAGGGTGTCGTTGCTAGCAGGGTGATGTTGCTAGCAGGGTGTCGTTGCTAGCAGGGTGTCGTTGCTAGCAGGGTGATGTAGCTAGCAGGGTGATGTTGCCAACAGGGTGATGTAGCTAGCAGGGTGTCGTTGCTAGCAGGGTATCGTTGCTAGCAGGGTGATGTAGCTAGCAGGGTGATGTTGCCAGCAGGGTGATGTAGCTAGCAGGGTGTCGTTGCTAGCAGGGTGTCGTTGCTAGCAGGGTGATGTTGCTAGAAGGGTGTCGTTGCTAGCAGGGTGATGTAGCTAGCAGGGTGATGTTGCCAGCAGGGTGAGGTAGCTAGCAGGGTGTCGTTGCTAGCAGGGTATTGTTGCTAGAAGGGTGTCGTTGCCAGCAGGGTGATTTTGCTAGCAGGGTGATGTTGCTAACAGGGTGTCGTTGCTAGCAGGGTGGTGTTGCTAGCAGGGTGATGTTGCTATCAGGGTGTCGTTGCCAGCAGGGTGTCGTTGCTAGCAAGGTGTCGTTGCCAGCAGGGTGTCGTTGCTAGCAGGGTGTCGTTGCCAGCAAAGTGATGTTGCTAGTAGGGTGATGTTGCTAGCATGGTGTCGTTGCTAGCAGGGTGTCGTTGCTAGCAGGGTGTCGTTGCTAGCAGGATGATGTTGCTAGCAGGGTGATGTTGCTAGCAGGGTGTCATTGCTAGCAGGGTGGTGTTGCTACCAAGGTGATGTTGCTAGCAGGGTGATGTTGCTAGCAGGGTGTCGTTGCCAGCAGGGTGTCGTTGCTAGCAGGGTGTCGTTGCCAGCAGGGTGTCGTTGCTAGCAGGGTGATGTTGCTAGCAGGGTGTCGTTGCTAGCAGGGTGATGTTGCTAGCAGGGTGATGTTGCTAGCAGGGTGTCGTTGCTAGCAGGGTGATGTAGCTAGCAGGGTGATGTTGCCAGCAGGGTATCGTTGCTAGCAGGATGTCGTTGCTAGCAGGATGATGTTGCTAGCAGGGTGATGTTGCCAGCAGGGTGATGTAGCTAGCAGGGTGTCGTTGCCAGCAGGGTGTCGTTGCCAGCAGGGTGTGGTTGCTAGCAGGGTGATGTTGCTAGCAGGGTGATGTTGCTAGCAGGGTGATATTGCTAGCAGGGTGATGTTGCTAGCAGGGTGTCGTTGCTAGCAGGGTGTTGTTGCTAGCAGGGTGATGTTGCTAGAAGGGTGTCGTTGCTAGCAGGGTGTCGTTACTAGCAGGGTGTCATTGCCAGCAGGGTGATGTTGCTAGAAGGGTGTCGTTGCTAGCAGGGTGATTTGCTAGCATGGTGTCGTTGCCAGCAGGGTGTCGTTGCTAGCAGGGTGATGTTGCTGGCAGGGTGTCGTTGCTAGCAGGGTATCGTTGCCAGCAGGGTGATGTAGCTAGCAGGGTGTCGTTGCTAGCAGGGTATCGTTGCTAGCAGGGTGATGTTGCTAGCATGGTGTCGTTGCCAGCAGGGTGTCGTTGCTAGCAGGGTGATGTTGCTAGCAGGGTGTCGTTGCTAGCAGGGTATCGTTGCTAGCAGGGTGATGTAGCTAGCAGGGTGATGTTGCCAGCAGGGTGATGTAGCTAGCAGGGTGTCGTTGCTAGCAGGGTATCATTGCTAGCAGTGTGATGTTGCTAGCATGGTGTCGTTGCCAGCAGGGTGTCGTTGCTAGCAGGGTGATGTTGCTAGCAGGGTGTCGTTGCTAGCAGGGTATCGTTGCTAGTAGGGTGATGTAGCTAGCAGGGTGATGTTGCTAGCAGGTTGTCGTTGCTAGCAGTGTTATGTTGCTAGAAGGGTGTTGTTGCTAGCAGGGTGATGTTGCTAGCAGGGTGTTGTTGCTAGCAGGGTGTCGTTGCCAGCAGGGTGTCGTTGCCAGCAGGGTGTCGTTGCTAGCAGGGTGTTGTTGCTAGCAGGGTGATGTTGCTAGCAGGGTGTCGTTGCTAGCAGGGTGATGTTGCTAGCAGGGTGTCGTTGCTAGCAGGGTGATGTAGCTAGCAGGGTGATGTTGCCAGCAGGGTGATGTAGCTAGCAGGTTGTCGTTGCTAGCAGTGTTATGTTGTTAGGGTGTTGTAGTGGGGTGATGTTGCTAGCAGGGTGTTGTTGCTAGCAGGGTGTCGTTGCCAGCAGGCTGTCGTTGCCAGCAGGGTGTCGTTGCTAGAAGGGTGTCGTTGCTAGCAGGGTTATGTTGCTAGCATGGTGTCGTTGCCAGCAGGGTGTCGTTGCTAGCAGGGTGTCGTTGCTAGCAGGGTGATGTTGCTAGCAGGGTGTCGTTGCCAGAAGGGTGATTTTGCTAGCAGGGTGTCGTCGCCAGCAGGTGTCGTTGCAGCAGGTTATTTTTCTAGCAGGGTGATGTTGCTAACAGGGTGTGGTTGCTAGCAGGGTGTTGTTGCTAGCAGGGTGATGTTGCTAGCAGGGTGTTGTTGCTAGCAGGGTGATGTTGCTAGCAGGGTGTCGTTGCCAGCAGGGTGTCGTTGCCAGCAGGGTGATGTTGCTAGCAGGGTGTCGTTGCCAGCAGGGTGATGTTGCTAGCAGGGTGTCGTTGCCAGCAGGGTGATGTTGCCAGCAGGGTGTCGTTGCTAGCAGGGTGTTGTTGCTAGCAGGGTTGTTAGCAGGCGTTGCCAGCAGGGTGTCGTTGCCAGCAGGGTGTCGTTGCCAGCAGGGTGATGTTGCCAGCAGGGTGTCGTTGCCAGCAGGGTGTCGTTGCCAGCAGGGTGTCGTTGCCAGCAGGGTGTCGTTGCCAGCAGGGTGATGTTGCCAGCAGGGTGTCGTTGCTAGCAGGGTGTTGTTGCTAGCAGGGTGATATTGCTAGCAGGGTGTTGTTGCTAGCAGGGTGATATTGCTAGCAGGGTGTCGTTGCCAGCAGGGTGATGTTGCCAGCAGGGTGTCGTTGCTAGCATGGTGTTGTTGCTAGCAGGGTGATGTTGCTAGCAGGGTGATATTGCTAGCAGGGTGTCGTTGCCAGCAGGGTGATGTTGCTAGCAGGGTGATGTTGCTAGCAGGTGTTGTTGCTAGCAGGGTGATGTTGCTAGCAGGGTGATATTGCTAGCAGGGTGTCGTTGCCAGCAGGGTGATGTTGCTAGCAGGGTGTCGTTGCTAGCAGGGTGTCGTTGCCAGCAGGGTCTCGTTGCTAGCAGGTTGCCGATGTTTCAGAACCTGCTGCTCTGTGTTCCAGTAAAACCCAAAAGTCCGTGGATCGTCAAAGTGACGATGGATCGCTGATGGACCGGGCTGAGATCCACTTCCAGATCCCCTACAACAAAGATTACCTGAATCTGAACACCCAGATCTTCCAGCTCAACCTGTGGACCGACGGCAGCAACATCGTAAGGCTCTCGGCGCCAGCGCAGAGTCTGACCTCTGACCTCGGCTGGACGTTTGACCTCCTGATCTCGTCCCGCAGACCCAGAACGTCTCGTCAAATAACTTCCTGCAGATGGACAGGCAGCACCTCCGTCAGGACTCGGAGTACCGGGTGAGGGTCCGGTCCGTCCCCGTCGGCGTCCTGCAGGGAACCTGGAGCGCCTGGAGCCCCTCGTTCTCCTTCCACACGCCGCCCGGTGAGGACGGCGGACGTCCAGCGGCGCACAGCCCTGAGCTGCGGTCACTGACATCATCATCGAGTCCGGATGAGACAGAGCGGCCCGTCTTCGGACTGGTCCTGACCTTGGTGTCGGCGCTGGTGGTTCTGTGCGGCATCTTGGTGGTCTGGAAGACGGGGTAGGAGCCCGGGTCCGGCCGGAGCTTCAGGTGTGTCTCTGGTTCCTAACTTCCTGTTTCTCTCAGGATCTTCTCCATCCTGTGGCCCAGCATCCCGCACCCCAAGCAGGCGCTGGTCCAGATCTGCAAACCCAACAAGGTGACTTCCTGAACCGGTTCTGCTCGGGTTCTGCTCGCATCAGAACCCGCCTAACCGTCTGCTGCTCCCCAGGGTCTGCTGCTGGACCTGCACCACGAAGTCTTCAGCTCCCTGCGAGTCCTGCCGCAGGCGGAGGAGGCGGAGCCACGCAGGAGGCCCTCTGGGTCCGGGTCCGGGTCCGAGTCCGGGTCCGGGTCCGACTCGTCCCACAGCACCGCCTCCAGCGCCGACACCGAAGAGCTGGAGGTCTCGGCGCTGCTGAGCTGCTCGGACGGCGAGGACAGCGGCGTCCCCAGCGGCGTGCCGTCCCCCAGCGGCGTCCCCAGCGGCGTGCCGTCCCCCGTCGACGTCCCGCAGCGCGAAGACGAGTTCCAGAACCTCCTGGCCCGGCGCAGCGGCCCGGGACTGGAGGAGGCCTACGTCACCATGTCCAGCTTCTACCAGAGCCAGCAGCACAGCGCCACCAGCTGGACGACCAGCGTCCCATCTGTCCTTCAGATCTGACTCCCAGAGACTCTGCTGGACTCATGCGACCTTTGACCCTCCCTCAGGCATCTGTTCATTCTTCAGGGCTCCTCTCAGTATTTGACCTTTGACCTCATATTGCTGCTTCCTGAATGGACCCGGTCGTGGGATCCCCGTCCCCAGAACCTGAGAACAACCAGTTCCTCTTACTGGTCCCAGCGCTCACATTCACACTAACAGGCCTGCAGCCAATCAGAGCCCAGCATCTCCAGCGACTGGCCCTGATTGGCTGAGGAAACGGTTTGATCCAATCTGACGGGATCCTGATGGGATCATTTATCATTTCATTTGGAGAATAAAGTCATAATATTATCAGAATAAAAAGGCAAAACTAGGAGAAGAAGCTGAGATGTGATCAGAACCGGCCGGTTCTGAAAGATCCTCATTTTAACACAAAGATTGAAAAATGGAGGAACTTTCATAAAATCAATCAAATCTTCCATTTATTCTGTTATTATGGCTTCACTCTCATGTCATCATCATCATCATCATCATCATCATCATCATCATCATCATCATCATCACCATCATCATCATCTCTCAGACCTGCTGCTGGTTCTGGTTCTGGTTCTGAATATTTGCATCAAACCGGTTCTGATGCTTTCACAGGTTCTGTTGTAGGTCCAAATGGACTTTGGTTCTCCATGAAGCTCTGTTAAACCAGAAGGTTCTGTTGGTGGAACATGGCAGCAGAACCAGAACCAGGCGGTCCATTTGACCCGCTCTGGTGGTTCTGACTCAAAGTTCAAAAACATCATTGATCTCAGCAGGGAACCTCAGAGACCTGATCAGAACCAACCAGAAGGTTCTGCTGGACACCCTTCATCCGGCACTAGAACCTCCTGATGGAACTGACCCATCAAAAGAACCAAAGCACCCAAACCCAACAGAACCCAACAGAACACAACAGAACCCAACAGAACCCAACAGAACCCAGACAGACCCCAACAGAACCCAAACAGAACCCAAAGAGAACCCAACAGAACCCAACAGAACCCAGACAGACCCCAACAGAACCCAGACAGACCCCAACAGAACCCAGACAGAACCCAACAGAACCCCAACAGAACCCAGACAGAACCCAACAGAACCCAACAGAACCCCAACAGAACCCAGACAGAACCCAACAGAACCCAACAGAACCCAAACAGAACCCAACAGAACCCAGACAGAACCCAACAGAACCCAGACAGAACCCAACAGAACCCCAACAGACCCCAACAGAACCCAGACAGAACCCAACAGAACCCAGACAGAACCCAACAGAACCCAACAGAACCCAAACAGAACCCAACAAAACCCAGACAGAACCCAACAGAACCCAACAGAACCCAAACAGAACCCAACAAACCCAGACAGAACCCAACAGAACCCAACAGAACCCAGACAGAACCCAACAGAACCCAACAGAACCCAGACAGACCCAACAGAACCCAGACAGAACCCAACAGAACCCAACAGAACCCAACAGAACCCAACAGAACCCAACAGAACCCAGACAGAACCCAACAGAACCCGACAGACCCAACAGAACCCAGACAGACCCCAACAGAACCCAACAGAACCCCCCAACAGAACCCAACAGAACAACAGAACCCAAACAGACCCCAACAGAACCCAGACAGACCCCAACAGAACCCAACAGAACCCAACAGAACCCAAACAGACCCCAACAGAACCCAACAGAACCCAACAGAACCCCAACAGAACCCAGACAGACCCCAACAGAACCCAGACAGAACCCAACAGAACCCCAACAAAACCCCAACAGAACCCAACAGAACCCAGACAGAACCCAACAGAACCCCAACAGAACCCCAACAGAACCCAGACAGACCCCAACAGAACCCAGACAGAACCCAACAGAACCCAACAGAACCCAGACAGACCCCAACAGAACCCAGACAGAACCCAACAGAACCCAACAGAACCCAACAGAACCCCAACAAAACCCCAACAGAACCCCAACAGAACCCAGACAGAACCCAACAGAACCCCAACAGAACCCAGACAGACCCCAACAGAACCCAGACAGAACCCAACAGAACCCAACAGAACCCAAAAGAACCCCAACAGAACCCAGACAGAACCCAACAGAACCCCAAAAGAACCCCAACAGAACCCAGACAGAACCCAACAGAAAAAAGACAGAACCCAACAGAACCCAACAGAACCCAGACAGAACCCAACAGAACCCAGACAGAACCCAACAGAACCCAACAGAACCCCAACAGAACCCAGACAGACCCCAACAGAACCCAGACAGAACCCAACAGAACCCCAACAGAACCCCAACAGAACCCAGACAGACCCCAACAGAACCCAAACAGACCCCAACAGAACCCAGACAGACCCAACAGAACCCCAACAGAACCCAGACAGACCCCAACAGAACCCCAAAAGAACCCCAACAGAACCCAGACAGAACCCAACAGAACCCAGACAGACCCCAACAGAACCCAGACAGACCCCAACAGAACCCCAACAGAACCCAGACAGAACCCAACAGAACCCAACAGAACCCCAAAAGAACCCCAACAGAACCCAGACAGAACCCAACAGAAAAAAGACAGAACCCAACAGAACCCAACAGAACCCCAACAGAACCCAGACAGAACCCAACAGAACCCAGACAGAACCCAACAGAACCCCAACAGAACCCAGACAGAACCCAACAAAACCCCAACAGAACCCAACAGAACCCAAAGAGAACCCAACAGAACCCAGACAGACCCCAACAGAACCCCAACAGAACCCAACAAAACCCCAACAGAACCCAACAGAACCCAACAAAACCCCAACAGAACCCAGACAGAACTCAACTGAACCCAACAGAACCCAGACAGAACCCCAACAGAACCCAGACAGAACCCAACAGAACCCAGACAGAACCAAAGAGAACCCAGACAGAACCCAACAGAACCCAAAGAGAACCCAACAGAACCCAGACAGACCCAACAGAACCCCAACAGAACCCAGACAGAACCCAACAGAACCCAACAGAACCCAAAGAGAACCCAACAGAACCCAGACAGACCCCAACAGAACCCAAACAGAACCCAGACAGAACCCAACAGAACCCAGACAGAACCCAGACAGAACCCAACAGAACCCAACAGAACCCAAGAGAACCCAGACAGAACCCAACAAAACCCCAACAGAACCCAACAGAACCCAGACAGAACCCAACAGAACCCCAACAGAACCCAGACAGACCCCAACAGAACCCAGACAGACCCCAACAGAACCCAGACAGACCCCAACAGAACCCAACAGAACCCAGACAGACCCCAACAGAACCCAACAGAACCCAGATAGAATGGTTCCTCTGGTTCTGATCCGTTAAGTTCAGATCAAAGGTCATCTGAAGGAACCAAAGACTCATTATTCAATCTGATCATTTGGGTCAGAACCGGGTCAGAAGCCAATCTTAGTACAGATTGGGTCAAAGTGATTATAAAGGTCGTTTTCCTTCATAGTTCCACATGTTCTGTTGTTTGACCCGGTTCTGTTTGGGTTCTGGTTCCTGACAGCGGTAGAACCTGTGGAAACATCAGAGAAGTTCTTTAGAAACTGCTCCCATCCGGACCCGTCCAGAACCTGCTGCAGCTGCTGCAGCTGCTGCAGCTCTCAAACGCGCCGCATGCCGAGTGGGGACTTCCTGTTGCAACCTGTTTGTTCTGATTGTGGTCGGGTCGGCGCTGCTGCTGTAAAATCCGACCCGGTCCAAACGTCACAAGCATCCAGACAAGAATGTACTGCTCCGCTTTGTCTCTATTAATGTTCTGTACATACTGCCAGGTTTGAACTAGGACCTTTATTTAACCGTCATTAACCAATCATTGATCATGAAGAATAAAAGTTTCTGTTGAAATGTTGAAGTAAAGCTTCACATCCTAAAAATGGACATCAATTATGTGATATCAGTGAACCATTAATATCAGTATTATTATCAATAGTGATGGCTGTAAAACATTATGATACGACTCGTCATTCATCAGAGCTTCCAGGCGTTCCTCATCATCAGGATGAAGTAGGCGTCGCTGTCGATGGAGGCGCTGACGCCGCTGTAGTAGTTCAGGAACTCCTCTTTGCTCACCTGGAGGTCAGAGGATGAAGACGGTCAGTGAGGAAGAGGAGCGGCTCCAGAACCGGTTCTGTCCAACGTTCTCCGGACCGACGGAAACCCAGAGAAAACTGGAGAAACCCGGAGTAGACGAGCGTAGACATCATCCTACTGACTGACCCACAGGTTACATACAGGAAGGTAAAGTTTCTGAGGCCCAAAGGTTAGGACCTGACCTCTGACCTTTGGGTTTTAGTGTCTTAATGTGTAGAAAAATACAAATCTGGACATGGAACCAAGGAACTGGATCGTCCTGCTGGATCCAGAAAAGTTCTGCTGAGGGGTGAAGTCCAGAACCGAATCAGAACCAAACTGAGCATCCCGTCTGGTTCCAACCGTACAGCACAGAGCGGGAGACCCAGCAGCAGACATAGCTAGCTAATGCTAATGCTAATGCTAGCACCAAGAAGATCACTGATCACCTGATGGTGGGAAAATGAACTGTGTGGTTTAAACATCCAACATTTTCTCTGCTCTCCTTCAATTAGTGGATCTGAAACTGGAAACCAGGAACAAACCAGAACAAAAACACACCGGAGAGCCACTCATCCCGTCTGCTCTACCGTCATGTCAGACTCTTCATGCCGTACCTTCCCGTCTTTGTCGTACGGAGAGTCGAAGCTGTCCAGGAAGGTCCGGAACACCTGCTCCTCGGTCCACTCCCCGTTCTGGTACTTTGGGTGGTACTTGGCGTTGTAGACGCCCCTCAGGTCGTCCACGGTGATCACGCCGTCTCCGGTCCTATCCAGCTTCCTGAATGCCTCCATCACCACCTCCTTCCTGGACTTGGACATGGGAGGCTGCAGGACAGAGGGACGGGTTCAGGCTAACCCAGTGGAACCAGTTGGTTCTGAGGTCAGAACAGACACTGCGGTTCACCGAGCAGCCGGGAGATTAAACCCAAAGACTGGAGACCAATGAGACCAGGACAGGTCTTCATTTCAAATCATTAAACATGTGTCTGTGATGGATGTTTCCACCTGGTGTTACTGGGTTTACTGGTTTACCCTCAGGGTGACGAGGAACTCGTCGAAGTCGATGGAGCCGCTGCCGTCGCGGTCGAAGTGGCGGAACAAGGCGGCGGCCTCGTCCTTCTCGATCAGCAGCCCGTAGTCGTTTCAGGCCCTTCAGGAACTCCTTGAAGTCCAGGGAGCGGCTCTCGTTGTCGTCCATGACCCTGAAGGTCCTGACAGGAAGCAGACCGTTGGACCAACACTGCCCCCTACTGGCCACCACACATCACAGCTACCAACAGAGGAGCAACAACTCCCTATAGAATGATCTGAAACTACAAACATTTTATTAAAGTATCTCCAGATTTGTTGACAGATTCTCACTACAACAAAAACTGAGAACAGAAACACAGGAAGTGAAGAGACTTTTTAAAAAACTTGCTGTTTGTGTTTGTGGTTTCTAGTTCTCATCCGTGATGACACATTTAGAGCCCAACCGAGAAACTACGATCACAAACTGCTGATCTGATGTAGTAAATGAGCTCAGAGAACCACAGAACTGAGATCAGCGGCTGGAAACCACCAACAGCAACAGAACCACCAAAACAACAACATCCTGCAGCGACGCCGAGTCAGCACAGCCCACAGCATGACTACTGCAGACACACAACTCACTACAAACACCGGGTAATCAGAGTACTGCTGGGGTAATCAGAGAACTGCTGGGGTAATCAGAGTACTGCTGGGGTAATCAGAGTACTGCTGGGGTAATCAGAGTACTGCTGGGGTAATCAGAGTACTGCAGTAACTAAAGTACTCGTGGTGTTTTGGATCTCTGAAGGTACTGAACCTGCAGAGATGTTGAAACTTTTGTTCAGTGTTTCAGTTTCTTTATGAAGTTTATTAGTTTTAAGTTTAGTTATAAATGTTTTAAACATATTTTATACATATATTTTGAAATGTTTTCTCTTGTGGTTGTTTCTCGTTTCTTCTCTCCGGTTCCAGGCGGGTTGAAGCAAAGTTTCCTCTGGTTCTGACCCGACCAAACTGGATCTGAGAGCCACCGCGGTCCGGTTCTGACCGGGTTCAGAACCGAGGTGGGCGGGGCTTACCTGCCCAGGCCTTTGATCCCAGACGAGCCTCGGGTCAGACACTGGAGCCGGAGCCGCTCCACCGGGTCAGAACATCCCGACAGCTGCTGCTTGGCCTTCTGGGCCATGGCCCGGTCGTGTCTGGATGTTCCTGCCATGACTGAAGACACAGAGAGGGTCGGTTCTGGTTCTGGAACCAGAGGACGGGTCCATCACAGACGTGTCTGTCTCCAGAGACAGTTCCTGGACGAACGCCTGCTGGAAAGAGTTCTGGTTCTGGTTCTTTTCATGACAGAATAAAATTTTGTCTTTTTACTTTTTCAATCAAGAAGCAACTAAATAGAATTAGTTTTTCTTTTTGTCAGCTGTTAAAGTTCTTCTCTTTTATGACTGCGTCAATAGTTCATAAAGTATCAATAATCATATCAGTACCATTGATAAAGCATCAGGTCAGATCAGAACCAGATTCAATCCAGAACCTTCCGAACTTGGATCAGAAATGTTTCTGCTGGTCAAGCGGCGCCATCTGCTGGTCAGAAGGAGGAACTGGCCTCAGTGCTCCGTGCTTTTATTGTGAAGGTCTGCTCCAGGTACTCTGATGTTTATCTCTGAACCAGGAAGCGGCAGCAGCCGCCGCTGCGCGCGCAGCGACACAAACAAACAACCGATGAACCAATCAGCGGCTCGGACTCACCAGTTTCTCCTCCAGTTCTCCCAGTTCTCCCAGTTCTCCCAGTTCTCCCAGTTCTCCCAGTTCTCCCAGTTCTCCCAGTTCTCCCAGTTCGTTCTCAGCTTCAGTCCGACGCTGCTCTGCTCCAAGCGATCCCTCGTTACCATGGAGACCAGCTGCTCTGCGCTCTGATTGGCTGCTCTGTCTGTAGCGGTGACGTCATGTCTCTCAGGAAACAAAGGAGCCAATAAATGCCCAGAAACACTCACTGTTTATTAGTTTGAGTTTATAGAATATTATTCAGCATAAAACCAGAACCGGAACCAGAACCAGAACCAGACAGAAACTTTCACACATATCATAGTACCAGAATGTTAGCTGTTAGCTCACCACCATCAGTGTGTGAATGGATGAATGGATGTTTTGCTGGGGTAATCAGAGTACTGCTGGGGTAATCAGAGTACTGCTGGGGTAATCAGAGAACTGCTGGGGTAATCAGAGAACTGCTGGGGTAATCAGAGTACTGCTGGGGTAATCAGAGTACTGCTGGGGTAATCAGAGTACTGCTGGGGTAATCAGAGTACTGCTGGGGTAATCAGAGTACTGCTGGGGTACTGCTCCAGGTACTCTGATGTTTATCTCTGAACCAGGAAGTTCAGAGATAAACATCCATTTATCCCAGTCATCCATTCATCTATTCATCTATTCATGAATAGATGAATAGATGAGTGGATGAATAGATGAATGGATGAATAGATGAATAGATGAATAGATGAATAGATGAATGGATGAATAGATGAATGGATGAATAGATGAATGGATGAATGGATGAATAGATGAATGGATGAATGGATGAATAGATGAATGGATGAATAGATGAATGGATGAATGGATGAATAGATGAATGGATGAATAGATGAATGGGTGAAGCGCCTCTGGAAAGTCAAATCTTTAATCTTTTATATTTCTGGTCTCATCTGCCTGAAACTCTGAGCTTCATCTCAACAGTTTAATAAAATGTTCATCCAGTTAACCCGACCCGTTACCTGGATGGATGACCAGCAGGACCGGCTCTGGGTTCTGGACCTTCCTCTGACTTCGGAACAAAATGTGGATGAAAGACAAGAGTTTCTGTTTCAAAAAGGTCCAGTCATGTCAATGTGTGGTTCTGGATTGCAGCAGAACGACCTGCTGGTTCTGCCCGGTTCCTCTGCCCGGTTCCCCGGCCCGGTTCCCCGGCCCGGTTCCTCTGCCCGGTTCCTCTGCCCGGTTCCTCTGCCCGGTTCCCCAGCCCGGTTCCTCTGCCCGGTTCCCCGGCCCGGTTCCCCGGCCCGGTTCCTCTGCCCGGTTCCCCGGCCCGGTTCCTCTGCCCGGTTCCCCGGCCCGGTTCCTCTGCCCGGTTCCACGGCCCGGTTACCACAGCAGCAGAAACATAAATCAGAACTTTTCACTGTTTTAATACCAATAATCAATAATAAAAACTGGACCTCTTATCTTGTTGCTAAAGATAAAATCTGCTTTGAAAATGAAAGTTGGTTCCAAATTTTAGCAGACAGCTGTGAAATCTGCTGTAAGAAGCCAATAAGTATTATTAATAAAACACATTCATATGATCAAAGATGCAACGTTTGTAAAACTGATTATATAAAGGATTTGTTTCAAAAATATTTCTATCTTGGTGTGCAGTAAAGTTTTATTCTTTCTTAAGTTTGAATTGAGCAGCAGACATGAAAGCTGCTCATGATTTCAGGGGAACCATTTGATGCTAAACATCCGGAAGTGAAGCAACTGGAGCCAAACGTCTGGAGACCAGGATCTGCTGCTAGAACTGAGTCAATATATTTGTCCTATTTGATGTTTGTTGTGACGTTTACTGCAAACTAACGAGGTCATTAGTGATTAGTTTGTCGTTTATTGATCGTTCAGAAACTCCACTGGCTGTGATGAACCACAGCAACAAGGTGAAACAACCTGAACAGGTGATCAACTCAGAACCATTCGCACCTTTTACTCTCCGTGTCTTTATCGCTGCAGGACACCCGTTGCTGAGCAGACATTACGTTAAAAACATGGAGTTCTGTTACGATATCAAGTTTCCAGGCTTGATATTTATTGATGGATGATTGATGAGCCTCTCATGAACACAGCGATGGTTGAGGAGATCATTAAAACTCCTGCTCTGCTCCTCAGTCGCTCTTTGAGTCGCTTTTTATTTCTTAATGGATCTGAAACACAATGAATTGCACAACACCTTGTTGTAACAATAATAATGACTGATTATTCATTTTAACACGTTTTGTTGATTTTTTTAAATGATTATTCTTTAATGAAGCCACAAAGGTTTTGGATCTTGGTGAATATTTTGATGATCCTGTCAGAAGAGGAAGTTCTGCTCTCAGTGTCCTGAAGACCTTCAGTTTGTCGCCTGTGGCTGAGATCCACTCAAAACTTTCCAGCAATCGACTGGTAGAAGAATTGAGCATCTGTGAACTGGATGAACTGAATCTAATATTTGTGTTCTATTAGAGCTGCAGTGACAGAATCCATCCATGTTTGGGTGTCTGTAGGGTTGGGGTTGGTGTTGGGATTTCGGTTTGTGTTGGGGTTTGGGTTTGGTTTGGGGTTTGGGTTGGTGTTGGGTTTGGGTTGGTGTTGGGTTTGGGTTTGTGTTGGGGTTTGGGTTGGTGTTGGGGTTTGGGTTGGTGTTGGGTTTGGGTTGGTGTTGGGGTTTGGGTTTGGGTTGGGGTTGGGTTGGTGTTGGGTTTGGGTTGGTGTTGGGGTTTGGGTTTGGTTTGGGGTTTGGGTTTGGGTTGGGGTTTGGGTTGGTGTTGGGGTTTGGGTTCGGGTTGGGGTTTGGGTTGGTGTTGGGGTTTGGGTTGGTGTTGGGGTTTGGGTTGGTGTTGGGGTTTGGGTTGGTGTTGGGGTTTGGGTTGGTGTTGGGGTTTGGGTTTGTGTTGGGGTTTGGGTTGGTGTTGGGGTTTGGGTTGGTGTTGGGGTTTGGGTTTGGGTTGGGGTTTGGGTTTGGGTTGGGGTTTGGGTTGGTGTTGGGGTTTGGGTTCGGGTTGGGGTTTGGGTTGGTGTTGGGGTTTGGGTTGGTGTTGGGGTTTGGGTTGGTGTTGGGGTTTGGGTTCGGGTTGGGGTTTGGGTTGGTGTTGGGGTTTGGGTTGGTGTTGGGGTTTGGGTTTGGTTTGGGGTTTGGGTTGGTGTTGGGGTTTGGGTTCGGCTTGGTGTTGGGGTTGGGGTCATAGCTTCATTGTTGAACTGGGGCATTGTACTCATCAGGGCTAAATGTTTCAATTATTCACATATTTAAACGTCAACAAAATTGAAGAATCTGGAAAGGATTTTGTTGAGCCTCTCAATGTTTGGACAGAACAAGGAGCAGATTGGTTCATTTTCATAAAACATTTGGCCTAATAAAGAAACACTTTAATCATAATCTTTTTAACTAAAGAAGACTTTTGATTTCAACACAACAGAAACAAAACTCACTTTAAAATCTTTACAAATAAATATTAACGTAACTAATTACTGTACTGTCACCTGTAACAATAGCAGTTCATGTTTTAAGTTATACTAGAACCAAATTACATTGATTTTTATGTGTAATGATAAAAATAGTTAAAATAACAAAAAGACATTTTTAAACAATGTATCCATTTCGGCACTTCACCAACCATTGAGGGTTTGTGTTTTTCTTCTGTTTCTTTTATTTTTGTTGTGTCTCCCTGGAGCACCTGCTGTTTCCAGAGGCATCCACCAGGTGCCGCTAGGATGCAGAGCCCCTGGAGTTGTGCCCAGCCGACCCCGTTGACGCACCTGCAGCTGCTTTGGCGGCTCGGTCTGGGTGTTTTGATCGTTTCATGAAAGGCCCTCTGAGATGTAACCCTGCCCCGGGTTTATACTTCTGCTGCTCCGTTGCTTTGGACGCTTCTTCAACCACCTGGAGGTTCGGTGTTCTGGACCGAGTCGGACCCGCTCTGACCGCTCACTACCTGTCCGCCCTCCAACCATCTTCTCCAGCCAGGTATCATAGTGACTCCCTCCAAGAATGAATCTGTTTATCCTGGAGAGACTGACCTTGACCCCCTGATTGACCTGCAGCTTCTCATTGGCAGTCAGACATCCAGTCATCAGTTCCAGAACCCCATCCCCTTTCCTTTTCCCGTTTCCTTTTCCCGTTTCCTTTTCCCGTTTCCTTTTCCCGTTTCCTTTTCCTGTTTCCTTTTCCCGTTTCCTTTTCCCCTTTCCTTTTCCCGTTTCCTTTTCCCCTTTCCTTTTCCTGTTTCCTTTTCCTGTTTCCTTTTCCCCTTTCCTTTTCCTGTTTCCTTTTCCCCTTTCCTTTTCCCGTTTCCTTTTCCCGTTTCCTTTTCCTGTTTCCTTTTCCCGTTTCCTTTTCCTGTTTCCTTTTCCCGTTTCCTTTTCCCGTTTCCTTTTCCCCTTTCCTTTTCCCGTTTCCTTTTCCCCTTTCCTTTTCCCGTTTCCTTTTCCCCTTTCCTTTTCCCGTTTCCTTTTCCCGTTTCCTTTTCCCCTTTCCTTTTCCTGTTTCCTTTTCCCGTTTCCTTTTCCCCTTTCCTTTTCCCCTTTCCTTTTCCCGTTTCCTTTTCCTGTTTCCTTTTCCCGTTTCCTTTTCCTTTTCCTTTTCCCGTTTCCTTTTCCCCTTTCCTTTTCCCGTTTCCTTTTCCCCTTTCCTTTTCCTGTTTCCTTTTCCTGTTTCCTTTTCCCCTTTCCTTTTCCTGTTTCCTTTTCCCCTTTCCTTTTCCTGTTTCCTTTTCCCGTTTCCTTTTCCCGTTTCCTTTTCCCGTTTCCTTTTCCTGTTTCCTTTTCCCGTTTCCTTTTCCTGTTTCCTTTTCCCCTTTCCTTTTCCCGTTTTCTTTTCCCCTTTCCTTTTCCCGTTTCCTTTTCCCCTTTCCTTTTCCCGTTTCCTTTTCCCGTTTCCTTTTCCCCTTTCCTTTTCCTGTTTCCTTTTCCCGTTTCCTTTTCCCCTTTCCTTTTCCCCTTTCCTTTTCCCGTTTCCTTTTCCCCTTTCCTTTTCCCGTTTCCTTTTCCCGTTTCCTTTTCCCCTTTCCTTTTCCCGTTTCCTTTTCCCGTTTCCTTTTCCCCTTTCCTTTTCCCGTTTCCTTTTCCCGTTTCCTTTTCCCCTTTCCTTTTCCTGTTTCCTTTTCCCGTTTCCTTTTCCCCTTTCCTTTTCCCCTTTCCTTTTCCCGTTTCCTTTTCCTGTTTCCTTTTCCCGTTTCCTTTTCCTGTTTCCTTTTCCCCTTTCCTTTTCCCGTTTCCTTTTCCCCTTTCCT